TTTTTTTTTTTTTTTTTTTTTTTTTTTTTTTTTTTTTTTTTTAACAAAATCATGATTTCTACAGAATGTACAGTTTATCTGGAGGTTGTTGCTTAGTCGCAGAATGTTACGTTGTACCGCAGTCCGCGATACCTTACGTTGGCGCGATCAGCGCCGTGGTACGCTCTCGAACGGCGGACGCCATGGTTGGACGCGTTGTGGTTCATCCGGCGGAGCTGGGTGGCGATTTCTGCGACTCATCACTTCGGTGTGTCTGACGTGACTTGCGGGGTAATCTGAAATGATAAGATAGAGAACGGGTTTCTGTTGTTATGCGTTGAACGGCTTCAGGTCCTTCAGGTGCGCGTGCGTTGGTTGTTTGTCGGGCCGCTCGGGGTTTACGAGTGTCACCGTGTTGGAGGAGATGTATTTGGTGATCGTATATGGGCCTGAGAATTTCGGCGCGAGCTTCTGAGCATAGTTGTCGGCAGCCGAGGAGAGGGGGTGATCTCGCTTCATCACCTTCTCTCCTACTCTAGGTTTCCACGGCCGTCTGCGTAGGTCGTAGTACCGTTTTTGCTGTTTGGCCGCCGCGGCGAGGTGCCCCTTTATCTCTGCCCATAGCTCGGTGATGGCTGGGGATGCCATGGGATGTTCCTCGGGTACTGCCCCTTCGGTGCGCATCTGCCGTGGCGCCGCTGGATTGCGTCCGAAGTTGATCTCCGCGGCGGATGCTCGCGTTGATTCGTGCTGGGCCGTATTGATGGCAAAGGCGATCTGGGAAAGCTCCTGATCCCAGGTACGATGATCTGTCCTTGAACGTTGTGCTATCATGGTTTTAACTACCCGATTGGTTCGTTCGGTCGGGTTTTCATGAGGAGCGTAGGTTGCGGTGAATTTGTGCTCTATGCGGTGCTCGCTGAGAAATTCCGCTAGGGCTTTACCCACAAACTGCTTTCCGTTGTCGCTGAGAAAGATAGCTGGGCAGCCAAACCGGTAAATGATTCTCTCCCGGAGTGCCTTGATGACGTTGGCGGTGGTGGCTTGGCGAACGGGAACTAACTCAACCCATTTAGAAAATTTGTCGACCAGGACGAGGAGGCACGTGTTTCCTTGTTTGGAGCGTGGAAGTGGTCCTACGAAGTCGGCCGTGACGATTTCCCATGGTTGCGAGCACTGCATGGTGGCCATTAATCCTGCTGGTCGTCTTTGTTCCACCTTGTACTCGGCGCAGGACAGGCACCTTCGTACGTGCTTGAGTACGTCACGGTACATCCCAGGCCAGTAGTAGTTCTGCTGTGCCCGTTTGAGAGTTTTCTTGACGCCTAGGTGTCCGGCTGCCGCGGCGTCATGTACTTCTTGCAGGATATCTGGTCGGCGACTGGTGGGGATGCAGAGCTTCCATTGAGGCGCACGGGAGAGCTTGTTGCGCGGCGCGATGTGGCGGAACAATCTATTGTCGATGATTTGGTAGTCCGGGTGGCGGCTAGGCTGTTGCTGTACTGTCTTTAGTTTTCTTTCGTACCAATCGCTGGTGCTGATTTCCACGGTGTAGAGTGTGTCTGCTCCATCATCGGTTGTTCGCGGGGTGGGTGCGGGCAGTGGTTGTCCGTCCAGGGTAAGGATGGCCTCTCTGTCCCTAAGGAAATCCATCCCCAGGATCATGCGTTCGGCAAGATTTGGGAGTGCCGAAGCCAGGGTGGTTGTGGCTCGCTTGTTGTACATTATCCTTACTGGATAAGTGTACAAGCTGGAGACGCATGTTTGATCGGCCAGTTGTACATTTCGGTGATTGGGTCGATGCTGGATTTTCCTCTCTTCCAGGTGTTGACGTATGGACTCGTCAATGTAGGTGAGCGTTGCGCCGGTGTCCAATAGTGCCCGTACGCTCATACCTTCTACGCTCACATTGATGTAGTAGCGACCATCTGCTTTTCCTCCTTGTTGGGTGTTAGTGTCTACAGGGACGGCGGCGATCGGAGCTGTTCCGGTGCTGCGTATTTTGCGGGGCGGCTTAGCGGTGGCAGTGTTGCACGGACAATCCCGGGAGAGGACGTTATCTCGGCCGCATCTAGAGCAGAACAGCCGTTTTGTCCTTCGGCATCGGAAGCGGAGGTGGCCGCGTCCTTTGCAACGCCAGCAGGATTCCTCTCTGCTATACCTTTCTTCTAGGGGAGCTAGGCTGTGTGCTGCTTGTCGGCTGTTTCTGGCCTCTTCGCCCTTCAGAAGCTCAAATTCGTCGGTGAGATCCATCAGCTCCTCGATCGTTTTAAACTCCCCTCGCTTGACGAAGAGACGATACTCCACACGTAGACCATCGTAGATGCGTTCCAAGTGATCCTCTCCACACATGGTCGGGTGTTGGCGTATAAGCGTTTGTAATGCCAAGATGTAATCCTTGGCCTTCTCTCGGCTTTGTTGGCGTCGCTGCCGGATGGCATCTTCGAGCTGACTCATGTGTCGCCGTGGGAGGAAGAACCGCTCTATTTCTGCACGAAACGCTGCCCACGAATGTAGCTGTGGTTTTCGTACGCGGAACCATTGTAGAGCCTTCCCGCGTAACACTTCAGGTAGGGTTGGGAGGAGGTTGTCTAGCGGGATGCGGTAGCATTCGGCTAGCTCTTCGATCCTCTCCAAGAAGTCGTGTAGCGCGTCACCTCCCGAAAAATGTATGTCCCATCGGCGAACGGTATTCATTAGCTCGGCGTCGCTGATCTCGCCACGCTTTGTTGCAGGCTTCATCTCCAGTGGCGGTGGACTATAGTTGTCGATCCGGACGGTGGGAATGGTGCTGGGCTGCATTTTTACTGGTCTCTCCTCTTCTGCTTTAATCTCCTCTTCCAAATCTCTTAATAAATCCTCTGTTGATTTGCGATGTCGCTTCGCTTTTACATATGCGCTAAGCGCGTTGCGCAGGTCGGCGACTGTATATCCCTCTACGAAAATTCGATGCCGCTTGCACTCCTCTATTAACTTCTCCTTCTTTAGCAGATATATCCAGCTGAGGGAGTCGACGTTCAGCGTATTGGTGTTACTCTCGCTGGCGCGTGTGTCATCTGTTGGTTGTGGTGTGTTCGGCGAGCCTGCTTCCGCAGTGTTGGTGCTTGTTAAGTTTTTTGCACATGCGCCTGCAGAGCTGGGTCCCTGCTCGGGCGCCATTTATGAGGTGGGTTTTGTCAAAGGCTGAGGTGAACTCAGCCGATCCAGAGTCCGGCGAAGGTCCCACTAACCCCCACCAAATAAAACACACTATTTTAGTGTATTTACTTCGAACACACACACACACACGGCGCTACGACTAGAGTGCCAGCAACCTTATGTCCAAAGAGAGGGAGAGGGAGGTGACGTTCGTTGTGGTCGTGCGGTCGGGTCGGAGCGGATGATGGCGAGAGCGCTAGCAGCACGGCGGTTGACTCTCAGGAGCAGCGCAGCAGCGGTGAGAGCGCTAGCAGCACGGCGGGTGGCTCTCAGGAGCGGCGAAGCAACGGTGAGATCGCTAGCGGCACGGCGGGTGACTCTCGGCAACAGCGGGGCAACGGTGGCAACGGCGGCGGCACAGCGGGTGACTCTCGGCAACAGCGGAGCAACGGTTGAGCAACGGTGGGAGCGCTAGCAGCAGCGGAGCAACGGTTGAGCCACGGTGGGAGCGCTAGCAGCACGGCGGGTGATTCTCGGCAACAGCGGAGCAACGGTTGAGCAACGGTGGGAGCGCTAGCAG